TCTCTTGGAATGCATTCATGGCATCTACCCACCTTGTGTGAACATTTGACTTAGTTTCGTGAAGTTGGATTTTTTGGCCAAAAATCAGTATTTTTGATGACTGCGGATATGGAAAACTTTTCAGATTTGAACCATTTTGGTAAAAACTGAAATGTGTGTTTTCTGCCCGAATCCTGAATGTAGTGGGCTGAAATCTCTTGGGAATTCATTCATGGCATCTACCCACCTTGTGTGAACATTTGACTTAGTTTCGTGAAGTTGGATTTTTTGGCCCAAAATCAGTATTTTTGATGACCGCGGATATGGAAAACTTTTCAGATTTGGACCATTTTTGGTAAAAAACTTAGATGTGTGTTTTCTGCCCGAATCCTGACTGTAGTGGGCTGAAATCGCTTGGGGATTCATTTCTGGCATCTACCCAACTCGTGTGAACATTTGACTTAGTTTCGTGAAGTTGGATTTTTTTGCCAAAATCAGTATTTTTTGATGACCGCGGATATGGAAAACTTTTCAGATTTGAACCATTTTTGGTAAAAAACTGAAATGTGTGTTTTCTGCCCGAATCCTGACTGTAGTGGGCTGAAATCTCTTGGGGATTCATTCCTGGCATCTACCCACCTTGTGTGAACATTTGACTTAGTTTCGTGAAGTTGGATTTTTTTGGCCAAAAATCAGTATTTTTGATGACCGCGGATATGGAAAACTTTTCAGATTTGAACCATTTTTGGTAAAAAACTGAAATGTGTGTTTTCTGCCCGAATCCTGAATGTAGTGGGCTGAAATCTCTTGGGATTCATTCCTGGCATCTACCCACCTTGTGTGAACATTTGACTTAGTTTCGTGAAGTTGGATTTTTTGGCCAAAATCAGTATTTTTGTTGACCGCGGATATGGAAAACTTTTCAGATTTGAACCATTTTTGGTAAAAAAACTGAAATGTTTGTTTTCTGCCCGAACCTGAATGTAGTCGGCTGAAATCTCTTGGGGATTCATTTCTGGCATCTACCCACCTTGTGTGAACATTTGACTTAGTTTCGTGCAGTTGGATTTTTTGGCCAAAATCAGTATTTTTGATGACCGCGGATATGGAAAACTTTTCAGTTTTGAACCATTTTTGGTCAAAAACTGAAATGTGTGTTTTCTGCCCGAATCCTGACTGTAGTGGGCTGAAATCTCTTGGGATTCATTTCTTACATCTACCCACCTTGTGTGAACATTTGACTTAGTTTCGTGAAGTTGGATTTTTTTGGCCAAAATTCAGTATTTTTGATGACTGCGGATATGGAAAACTTTTCAGTTTTGAACCATTTTTGGTCAAAAACTGAAATGTGTGTTTTCTGCCCGAATCCTGACTGTAGTGGGCTGAAATCTCTTGGGGATTCATTTCTGGCATCTACCCAACTCGTGTGAACATTTGACTTAGTTTCGTGAAGTTGGATTTTTTGGCCAAAAATCAGTATTTTTGATGACCGCGGATATGGAAAACTTTTCAGATTTGAACCATTTTTGGTAAAAACTGAAATGTGTGTTTTCTGCCCGAATCCTGACTGTAGTGGGCTGAAATCTCTTGGGGATTCATTGCTGGCATCTACCCACCTTGTGTGAACATTTGACTTAGTTTCGTGAAGTTGGCCTTTTTGGCCCAAAATCCGTATTTTTGATGACCGCGGATATGGAAAACTTTTCAGATTTGAACCGTTTTTGGTAAAAAACTGAATGTGTGTTTTCTGCCCGAATCCTGAATGTAGTGGGCTGAAATCTCTTGGGAATTCATTGCTGGCATCTACCCACCTTGTGTGAACATTTGACTTAGTTTCGTGAAGTTGGATTTTTTGGCCAAAAATCAGTATTTTTGATGACCGCGGATATGGAAAACTTTTCAGATTTGAACCATTTTTGGTAAAAAACTTAGATGTGTGTTTTCTGCCGGAATCCTGACTGTAGTGGGCTGAAATCTCTTGGGATTCATTCCTGGCATCTACCCACCTTGTGTGAACATTTGACTTAGTTTCGTGAAGTTGGATTTTTTGGCCAAAAATCAGTATTTTTGATGACCGCGGATATGGAAAACTTTTCAGATTTGAACCATTTTTGGTAAAAAACTGAAATGTGTGTTTTCTGCCCGAATCCTGAATGTAGTGGGCTGAAATCTCTTTGGAATTCATTCATGGCATCTACCCACCTTGTGTGAACATTTGACTTAGTTTCGTGAAGTTGGATTTTTTGGCCCAAAATCAGTATTTTTGATGACCGCGGATATGGAAAACTTTTCAGATTTGAACCATTTTTGGTAAAAAACTGAAATGTGTGTTTTCTGCCCGAATCCTGACTGTAGTGAGCTGAAATCTCTTAGGGATTCATTTCTGGCATCTACCCACCTCGTGTGAACATTTGACTTAGTTTCGTGAAGTTGGATTTTTTGGCCAAAAATCAGTATTTTTGATGACCGCAGATATGGAAAACTTTTCAGATTTGAAACATTTTTGGTAAAAAACTTAGATGTGTGTTTTCTGCCCGAATCCTGACTGTAGTGGGCTGAAATCTCTTGGGGATTCATTTCTGGCATCTACCTACCTTGTGTGAACATTTGACTTTGTTTCGTGAAGTTGGATTTTTTGGCCCAAAATTAAGTATTTTTGATGACCGCGGATATGGAAAACTTTTCAGATTTGAACCATTTTTGGTAAAAATTGAAATGTGTGTTTTCTGCCCGAATCCTGAATGTAGTGGGCTGAAATCTCTTGGAATACATTCATCGCATCTACCCACCTTGTGTGAACATTTGACTTAGTTTCGTGAAGTTGGATTTTTTGGCCCAAAATCAGTATTTTTGATGACCGCGGATATGGAAAACTTTTCAGATTTGAACCATTTTTGGTAAAAAACTTAAATGTTTTTTTTCTGCCCGAATCCTGAATGTAGTGGGCTGAAATCTCTTGGGGATTCATTGCTGGCATCTACCCACCTTGTGTGAACATTTGACTTAGTTTCGTGAAGTTGGATTTTTTGGCCCAAAATCAGTATTTTTGATGACCGCGGATATGGAAAACTTTTCAGATTTGAACCATTTTTGGTAAAAAACTGAAATGTTTGTTTTCTGCCCGAATCCTGACTGTAGTGGGCTGAAATCTCTTGGGGATTCATTTCTGGCATCTACCCACCTTGTTTGAACATTTGACTTAGTTTCGTGAAGTTTGATTTTTTGGCCCAAAATCAGTATTTTTGATGACCGCGGATATGGAAAACTTTTCAGATTTGAACCATTTTTGGTAAAAAACTGAAATGTTTGTTTTCTGCCCGAATCCTGACTGTAGTGAGCTGAAATCTCTTGGGGATTCATTGCTGGCATCTACCCACCTCGTGTGAACATTTGACTTAGTTTCGTGAAGTTGGATTTTTTGGCCCAAAATCAGTATTTTTGATGACCGCGGATATGGAAAACTTCTCAGATTTGAACCATTTTTGGTAAAAAACTGAAATGTGTGTTTTCTGCCCGAATCCTGAATGTAGTTGGCTGAAATCTCTTGGGAATGCATTCATGGCATCTACCCACCTTGTGTGAACATTTGACTTAGTTTCGTGAAGTTGGATTTCTTGGCCAAAAATCAGTATTTTTGATGACCGCGGATATGGAAAACTTTTCAGATTTGGACCATTTTTGGTAAAAAACTTAGATGTGTGTTTTCTGCCCGAATCCTGACTGTAGTGGGCTGAAATCTCTTGGGGATTCATTCCTGGCATCTACCCACCTTGTGTGAACATTTGACTTAGTTTCGTGAAGTTGGATTTTTTGGCCAAAATCAGTATTTTTGATGACCGCGGATATGGAAAACTTTTCAGAATTGAACCATTTTTGGTAAAAAACTTAGATGTGTGTTTTCTGCCCGAATCCTGACTGTAATGGGCTGAAATCTCTTGGGGATTCATTTCTGGCATCTACCCACCTCGTGTGAACATTTGACTTACTTTCGTGCAGTTGGATTTTTTTGCAAAAAATCAGTATTTTTGATGACCGCGGATATGGAAAACTTTTCAGATTTGAACCATTTTTGGTAAAAAACTTAGATGTGTGTTTTCTGCCCGAATCCTGACTGAAGTGGGCTGAAATCTCTTGAGGATTCCTTCCTGCCATCTACCCACCTTGTGTGAACATTTGACTTAGTTTCGTGAAGTTGGATTTTCTGGCCCAAAATCAGTATTTTTGATGACCGCGGATATGGAAAACTTTTCAGATTTGAACCATTTTTGGTAAAAAACTGAAATGTTTGTTTTCTGCCCCGAATCCTGACTGTAGTGGGCTGAAATCTCTTGGGGATTCATTTCTGGCATCTACCCACCTTGTGTGAACATTTGACTTAGTTTCGTGAAGTTGGATTTCTTGGCCAAAAATCGGTACTTTTTGATGACCGCTGATATGGAAAACTTTTCAGATTTGGACCATTTTTGGTAAAAAACTTAGATGTGTGTTTTCTGCCCGAATCCTGAATGTAGTGGGCTGAAATCTCTTGGGGATTCATTTCTGGCATCTACCCACCTCGTGTGAACATTTGACTTAGTTTCGTGCAGTTGGATTTTTTGGCCAAAAATCAGTATTTTTGATGACCGCGGATATGGAAAACTTTTCAGATTTGAACCATTTTTGGTAAAAAACTGAAATGTGTGTTTTCTGCCCAAATCCTGACTGTAGTGGGCTGAAATCTCTTGGGATTCATTTCTGGCATCTACCCACCTTGTGTGAACATTTGACTTAGTTTCGTGAAGTTGGATTTCTTGGCCAAAAATCGGTACTTTTGATGACCGCTGATATGGAAAACTTTTCAGATTTGGACCATTTTTGGTAAAAAACTGAAATGTTTGTTTTCTGCCCGGATCCTGACTTTAGTGAGCTGAAATCTCTTGGGGATTCATTCCAAGCCTCTACCCACCTTGTGTGAACATTTGACTTAGTTTCGTGAAGTTGGATTTTTTAGCCAAAAATCAGTATTTTTGATGACCGCAGACATGGAAAACTTTTCAGATGTGAACGATTTGTGGTAAAAAACTGAAATGTGTGTTTTCTGCCCGAATCCTGACTGTAGTGGGCTGAAATCTCTTGGGAATTCATTCCTGGCATCTACCTACCTTGTGTGAACATTTGACTGAGTTTCGTGAAGTTGGATTTTTAGGCCAAAAATCAGTATTTTTGATGACCGCGGATATGGAAAACTTTTCAGATTTGAACGATTTGTGGTAAAAAACTGAAATGTGTGTTTTCTGCCCGAATCCTGAATGTAGTGGGCTGAAATCTCTTGGGAATTCATTCATGGCATCTACCCACCTTGTGTGAACATTTGACTTAGTTTCGTGAAGTTGGATTTTTTGGCCAAAAATCAGTATTTTTGATGACCGCGGATATGGAAAACTTTTCAGATTTGAACGATTTGTGGTAAAAAACTGAAATGTTTGTTTTCTGCCCGGATCCTGACTTTAGTGAGCTGAAATCTCTTGGGGATTCATTCCAAGCCTCTACCCACCTTGTGTGAACATTTGACTTAGTTTCGTGAAGTTGGATTTTTTAGCCAAAAATCAGTATTTTTGATGACCGCAGACATGGAAAACTTTTCAGATTTGAACGATTTGTGGTAAAAAACTGAAATGTGTGTTTTCTGCCCGAATCCTGACTGTAGTGGGCTGAAATCTCTTGGGAATTCATTTCTGGCATCTACCTACCTTGTGTGAACATTTGACTGAGTTTCGTGAAGTTGGATTTTTAGGCCAAAAATCAGTATTTTTGATGACCGCGGATATGGAAAACTTTTCAGATTTGAACGATTTGTGGTAAAAAACTGAAATGTGTGTTTTCTGCCCGAATCCTGAATGTAGTGGGCTGAAATCTCTTGGGAATTCATTCATGGCATCTACCCACCTCGTGTGAACATTTGACTTAGTTTCGTGAAGTTGGATTTTTTGGCCAAAAATCAGTATTTTTGATGACCGCGGATATGGAAAACTTTTCAGATTGGAACGATTTGTGGTAAAAAACTGAAATGTGTGTTTTCTGCCCGAATCCTGACTGTAGTGGGCTGAAATCTCTTGGGAATTCATTTCTGGCATCTACCTACCTTGTGTGAACATTTGACTGAGTTTCGTGAAGTTGGATTTTTAGGCCAAAAATCAGTATTTTTGATGACCGCGGATATGGAAAACTTTTCAGATTTGAACGATTTGTGGTAAAAAACTGAAATGTGTGTTTTCTGCCCGAATCCTGAATGTAGTGGGCTGAAATCTCTTGGGAATTCATTCATGGCATCTACCCACCTCGTGTGAACATTTGACTTAGTTTCGTGAAGTTGGATTTTTTGGCCAAAATCAGTATTTTTGATGACCGCGGATATGGAAAACTTTTCAGATTGGAACGATTTGTGGTAAAAAACTGAAATGTGTGTTTTTCTGCCCGAATCCTGACTGTAGTGGGCTGAAATCTCTTGGGAATTCATTTCTGGCATCTACCTACCTTGTGTGAACATTTGACTTAGTTTCGTGAAGTTGGATTTCTTGGCCAAAATCAGTATTTGATGCTCGCGGATATGGAAAACTTTTCAGATTTGAACGATTTTTGGTAAAAAACTGAAATGTGTGTTTTCTGCCCGAATCCTGACTGTAGTGGGCTGAAATCTCTTGGGGATTCATTCCTGGCATCTACCCACCTCGTGTGAACATTTGACTTAGTTTCGTGCAGTTGGATTTTTTGGCCAAAAATCAGTATTTTTGATGACCGCGGATATGGAACACTTTTCAGATTTGAACCATTTTTGGTAAAAAACTGAAATGTTTGTTTTCTGCCCGGATACTGACTGTAGTGAGCCGAAATCTCTTGGGGATTTATTTCTGGCATCTCTTCACCTTGTGTGAACATTTGACTTAGTTTCGTGAAGTTGGATTTTTTTGCAAAAAATCAGTATTTTTGATGACCGCGGATATGGAAAACTTTTCAGATTCGGACCATGTTTGCTAGAAAACTGAAATGTTTGTTTTCTGCCCGGATACTGACTGTAGTGAGCCGAAATCTCTTTGGGATTCATTTCTGGCATCTCTTCACCTTGTTTGAACATTTGACTTAGTTTCGTGAAGTTGGATTTTTTGGCCAAAAATCAGTATTTTTGATGACCGCCGATATGGAAAACTTTTCAGATTCGGACCATGTTTGCTAGAAAACTGAAATGTTTGTTTTCTGCCCGGATACTGACTGTAGTGAGCTGAAATCTCTTGGGGATTCATTTCTGGCATCTCTTCACCTTGTTTGAACATTTGACTTAGTTTCGTGAAGTTGGATTTTTTGGCCAAAAATCAGTATTTTTGATGACCGCCGATATGGAAAACTTTTCATATTTGGACCATTTTTGGTAAAAAACTGAAATGCTTGTTTTCTGCCCGGATCCTGACTATAGTGAGCTGAAATCTCTTGGGGATTCATTGCTGGCATCTACCCACCTTGTGTGAACATTTGACTTAGTTTCGTGAAGTTGGAGTCTTTGGCCAAAAATCAGTATTTTTGATGACCGCGGATATGGACAACTTTTCAGATTTGGACCATTTTTTCTAAAAAACTGAAATGTTTGGTGTCTGCCGGGATACTGACTGTAGTGGGCTGAAATCTCTTGGGGATTCATTGCTGGCATCTACCCACCTTCTGTGAACATTTGACTTAAATACACACTTTGGGTCGCATGGGTGTCTAGTGCGTAAAGCGCTCGCCTCTCATCACCACTGTGGCCCTGGTTCGTTCCGGACTAGGACCATATGTCAGTAGATGTGTGTTGGTTCTCTTCTGTGCCATAAGGTTTTTTCTCCGGGCTCTCTGTTTTTCCTCTTCTGAAAAAACATTAACACTTTTGATCTCTGGCTGTGCTCCCTGGTCGGATATGGGTGATGTCTTCGGCTGCCTAAGGCGCCTTCACAAGCCTGCGGTTCGACCGCGTTTGTAGCCGCATCCTTCGCAATTCAGCTTCTTAGCTGCGAGTAAGGATGATTAGCTTCCTAAACTATAACGGTAAACATTCATCAGGAGCGCGCATGCATGGTTACAATTTGTAAGCACGCTCTTGGACAAAGGAGCATGGGCAACCGGTGTAAAACTGTGATACTACCTCAGTAAATGGCTTGTAAATGTGGTGTCAACAAATGAATCTGTTTATTTTGGCAAAAATAAATTACAGAACTAAAAACCAATTTGATTAGTTTTCTCCTTCTCCCACAGGTTCCTGACAGAGGAGGGCGCCCCCTGGAGGCCACGCCACCACCAGTTGAGATGCCCGCATTCAGACAGAGGACAGAGCAGCCCAAGGGTCAACGACCTCAAAGTGAGTTTCAGCATCTTCCTGCCACTGTGAAATATGAAATTTGATTTGAAAATTCAAATTTAGATTATTGAGTCTGAAACTACTTAACAAACTAAATTAGCAATATTTGTTACCGTAAATCATGGTGTAAATTGTAGCAGTTGAAAAAATTGGGGGGGGGGAGGGGAATGCCAAAAAGATTAGCAGGATAACAGAAATTTGCATTTACGTTTGCATTAACACTTAGTCTGTAAATAGCCTCAAACCATATAACACAGCATCTCAAAAGTGAGAACTTTGAAAAATTCTGCCAATTGAAAGCCTTCATTGTTTGAAATGATTTCCTTTACAGGTGGTCGAGGTGGCAGAGTGCAAGGAGGTAAGATTCAAAACACTCGTCATTTTTACTGTGACTGTACAATCCAATGCATGTTTACCTAGTACATGGACTTGCACATGATGTGCACATCTCGAACATGCAGTGAGACATTGGGGAGATTAACCTGATTTTGCCCATGTTTAAAAAGTGGGCGTGGCTTATAGCCAAATCTGAATCAGTCAATTACCAATTTTAAATATGAATTGCCTTACTAAAGAGATGAAGAAATGTGTTTTCAGTGGAAAAAAAAAACTGGTAATATGGGCACAGGGAGTTTCAGCAAAATGAAAGAGATTGTTGCCATCAGGTAGAAAATATTACTTTCCAGTACCTTGCAATTAATTACACATAGGCCATCAGCCTGGGGGTTTGGCCAGTATCAAATCAGGGCATAAATAATTATAGAGCACATGCGCAAGGTATACCGCCCCTAGAGTGGTAACAAGCATTTTGATGGACATTTTGAGAGAAAAAAGGGTGACAACACCCAAAAAGCTGCCACCGCTTCAATGCTATCACATATTTTCCAACTCTGGAGGTGTTTACCTTGCCAAAAATCGCTATGACGATTATTCCCCTCATCTGATACCGGTGGCCAAACTTTTGGACCGAGGCTGATGGCCTAACACTGTAACAGAGTGTATGGAAGCCTTGAAGCCACTTGCTGCAAGACACGTTTTACCATTTGGCCAAGTCAGATGTGTCCATATCATCACAGAGCTATATTAAATTACTAGAGCGCTGACTCATGTACAAAGAGATTCCGTCTGGGCGCATCCATGTCTGTGCACAAACCTATGGGAAACTCGAAATTGTGTACGTATTTTGTACGGCTCGTTTGTATTCCATACGGTGCGTTAGCGAAGCAGATACGCCCAAAACCGAAACGCACGATCAGCAAATGAGCATTTCATTTTGCTCTACACAAACAGCACAATGCGTGCATGATGATCCACTGCAGATGTTTTTGGCCGTGACGTATTTTGAAGCGTCATGACGCCTTCAAGTTGTTTGCATAAATTCTGCTTGCGGGTTGCATTTAGACTACACTTTTAAAATTCAATCCATCTAATTTCATGGTGTTCTACAAACACGCACATGAAATCAAAATGTCTGCGTCCAGAGCGGCTTCAAAGCGTCTCCGCGCACAAGAATGAGGAGTTAACGCTTTAGTAATTTGATGTAGCTCTATGGTCCGTACTCATTCAAAACCCTATTTGTCCAATATTTCTCTGATTTAGTTAACAACTGGGATTTTTTTTTTTAAACAGGATGGTCTGAAAGAGATGGCGGTGGAAGAGGCGGAGCTAGAGGAGGAGGAGGAGGAAGAGGAGGAGGTTGGAACCATGGGGGTGGGCACCAGCAGGGTCGGGGTGGGTATCAACATGGAGGGAACCAACAAGGTGGGTACCAGCAGGGTGCGTACCAGCAGGGTGCGTACCCGCAGGGCAGTTACCCGCAGGGCAGTTACCCGCAGGGTGGGCACCAGCAGGGCGGGCACCAGCAGGGCGGGCACCAGCAGGGCGGGTACCAGTCGGGCGGATACCAGCAAGGTGGGCACCAGGGGGAGGTGGGGGTCATCAAGGCGGAGGCCACAGAGGAGGGAGGGGCAAAAGAGGCAAGAGAGGTGGAAGGAATTAACAGGCGTCTTGTCTCGAGTCAGTCAGGTTAAAGCTAGCAGTTTGAAAGTACAGCTTTTCTCATATTATAAAAATGGCTAATACATGTAATACCCAAGAGCAGCTTGTCATGTGTTCCTAGTAGACACGCTATATGGCCTGGGTATGCCCAGGTCTTTGAAGTAGTCTTGGTTAAGACGTCGTATACTGGATACGCGATCATCTGCCACAAGGAGGCGTTATTGCAGTGAATGACTGTCACTTATGCACGAACCGCTGCTACAACATCTTGAGAATCTTGTAAAATTTCCCTCTGAATAATGCATTATTCAGGGGGAAACTAGTGCGCATGCACTACGTCTGCAGACAAATACAGTTCTTTTTCGGTCGCACCTGTACTGCATACATGTACGGCAAAAAAGCTGCCGTGAAGTTGCTCAAAAGACTTGTAACATGTTGTATGTATGTTGAATTTTTGAGTATGTATGTTGAATTTTTAAGTTTTGGTCGGACCTGTTGAAAGTTGTAGAAAGCACAGGTTATACACAGAATAGGCGCGACCGCATGGTACAACCGCTACAAGATTCCCAAAACATTGTTGTGATAGTGGTTTGTGGGTGTCAGCGGTTCGTTTTGATAATGCCCTCTTTTGGCGGGTGATCGCATATCAATATACAACAACTTCGTCTGGATCTGGTGACAAGAAGTATTTTGCATTAACTGAGGTCGAACAACATTCGCATGCATAACACAATTGTAAAGGTTGTAGACTGCATAGAGTGTGGAATTCCTGAGATTGGGCCCTCATGGCCTTTCATGATAGAAATGATTGATTGTTAATGACGTACATGTATCAATGATCAACTACAGAAGTACTTGAAATACTGAGAATCATGTTAAAAAAAACAGCTGTGGAGTGTTGCAAAGATAAATTTTATTTTATTTGTTCCCGTTTGTAATTGCATGCGACACAAAGTTAATCATACACAACTTAATCTTTAAAATTCAAAAGAAGTATTTTCTTTTTTGTATTTGGGTAATTCCGTAAAATACACCATACATCCGACCACATGACGCTCCCGTAAAAGGTCATTAATAGGTGGTGGTGTACCTTATTTTGGTCTGTAGTTGTTTTCTTCTCAATAGACATCAGATATTAGTGATGTCACATTCACTTTCCAAACAGCAGCTCATTGAAGTGTCTGGCATGTACATGCACGTCCGAATTTACGGAATTGCCCAATCCATTATTCTCCACATATTGTGTATTCTATATGTTAAAGTGCATTAGGATGAGACTGTCATAGTTGGGTAGTCAGTAAATTATAATTTATGCCTTAACCCTAACTCCCTACTTAGTTTTACTAGGTAGAAACCATGTCCGTCAAAATCCATCACTCACTCTGCTTCACATAATGCTTCAGGACCAAATCCGTTGAAATCCACCACTGGTGCTGGTGGATTTTGATGAAGTTGGTAAGGTTAGGGGTAAAGGAATTTCTGAGCCAGATCAGTCAAGCAGCAGTCAAGCAGCAGTAGTGTCCCCAAACCCAACCATTAAATATTTGGTGTCGTGTTTTGTTTCAACAACCAGAACGTCATTATTCAAAACGGGTTTTTTTTGTTGTGTAGTTTTTTATTGATTGTTTCATATGATACCCCAAAGGTGGATGGGGGTGTCAAATGTTTGAAATTCCTTCGAAATATATGTACACCACTGAACCAAAAATTCCTCCTTATTTGTTTAAGACTCATTGAGGTTTATTAGTTGGTCACAGTTCCGAGTTCACACACTTTCACAAAGGTTAGAAAAATACCTTCACCCTTTGTTTCACAGTAGTTTATATATGTTTATGAATCTTTAATGTTCATACAACTAATCAGTTCAAGTAATAAACTATTTGCCAACAAATAAATGCGACATCAAAAGCAATATTTGTCTTCTACATCAATCGTTTCTTTGGCGAGTTGCTTTAGTGAAATTACTTCTTAAAAAAAAAATCAGAAAATCTTTCTGTTTTTACTGCATGATAAAAAAAAAGATATTGTATGTGTTAATAACTACTATTAATGACTAACTACTACACTGACTATAGATCTCCCTGATACCTTGAATACATCTTTTTTTCTGACAAAATAGATTTCCTGAATACCAGAAAGCAATTTTTTTGGTATAGAAGTTTCCTGAGAAATTGTTATTGCTTATAAATCTGTATCCGATTAAAGAAACTTACATCACCTGAGCTGTGATAAACAAATCTAATTTTGTTTTAAGTTGCTATTTTTATAGAAAGCAACAGTTGTTTACTTTGAACCGAGACCTAAAACAAAAGAATCCGACCATATTCAGTGAGGAAGTTTTGGATATCTTTTGTGCGTTATGGGAGTAAAACAACCCATAATCAGGGTTCGACCTTAATTTTTATTTTCACTAGCCAGCTTGGCTACTGAAACAGATCATAACTAGCCCGTGGGCATTTTCACTAGCCCTCATGGTTTTTTTTTATAGAGCGTGTCTCATAAACAACAATGTGCATACATGTAAAATGTGTACGCTGAGGCAATCTTGTCAGTGTTTTCAATAAACCGATCTAATAATTTAACCCTAAACAGTTAATAAAATTAGACACAAATTGATACAGGTTTGCTTTCTGAATTTAATGATTTATGTATTTCTGTCCTTTCAACTTTGCCCAATATATTTTGACTTGCCAGACGGGCTACTTAAGGAATAGTTTGACCAGCCCGCCGCTGTTTTGACTAACATTTGGCAAGGGGGCTACCACTAAAGTTGAACCCTGCCCTTAACTATAAGGGCGTTAAAAATGTCCAAAATAGAAAAAAGGATGTTTCTTTTCCATGCAGTTATCAATTACTATGGCACAACAAACTCTACAAATGACTACCATGTCATCATGACGAGCCATTTTCGGGACAGCCTTGAGAGATTATGATCACGTTATTATCATCAACTTAAAATAATCCCCCAAACATAACACAGGATATAAATACACACAGCGACATACAGGTCATCCCAAATGCAAACAAATAGAGAGGGTCCAAATAAAATAATAGATAAACGCTTTGCCTGACACAAACAGTGCATGTGCATGAATCAATATTTTGCATGGTCATCAAGATAAACGATAACAGATATTGATGAGTATTTTTAACAATATCAGAGATGAATTCCATGGCACAATTTTCAAATACTGTTATTTTGTTTTGTCGACATTCAAATGAGTTTGAGATTACTTTTTAAAACATTGTTCTTTTTAGACTCCAGCTTAATACTGGGACCTTTTTTAGATTCAATATTTGCATAAAATGCTTGTTTTCAATCACACTTTTAACATAAAAATAACCAAAGGTTTTTGTTTATGATCCTAATCTACAGTCATTCCTCATACTGTTGAACCTGACTCAAATCTGACATTTTTTGTCCGAGTTCTCAAAGCAGGTTTTCTCCAAAACGCAGCCTTAATTATAAGCTGATCAAATTCTTCAATGCCATTTGCACAAGATAAGGTTGCTACTTTACATCGGCCAGCAATTTGATCTTCCTGCCAGCTGCTGGAACAAGCTTCTTCCAATATTCTGCATTTCCCCTGCAAAAGAAAAAAAAACGGAGCAAAGACAAGAAAGCCTTACTTTTTAAACCCTGAAAATTGCATTTTGCAGAAGCCGTTCCTTTGCTTAACCCATTGCTTTCCTTGCAGCCAGCCAACATGTGCACAAGTGTATTTACCATTACATCTGAGGACAAGGCATTGTCATTCCCTTTGCCCCGATAGTATAACACTCTCCCACAGAGCAAGCACACATACTTACATTTGAGGACCGTTTTCAACAACAGATGTGTGTTTGAGGACAACAAATTAAGAATCTGTTGTTCACTGGCTGTGTTGCTGTCCTTGGAATGTATGTAATACAAGAGCATATTGCCAAAAGACAACAAAAAAGTTGTGTGGTCGAGTCATTGTCCAAGTATGCCAAAAACATAAGTAAATCAGGTTGGCGCAGTGGTTTATGGTCCAAGTTCGATTCCTGCCCTGGTCAGTCCCCACTGATTGTCTGGGTTTTCCCCGTTTTTTTTCTGGGGTGTTCCGCCCACCTCTAAAAACTGTAATTTCTTCATTGTCTTCTCTCTGTAGGTTTCTTCAGGCATGCAAGCTACAGTGCCTATGGCACTTTTGAGAAATCATTTTAATAGTTAATCATAATTTATTTATGCATGGGGAACTGTAAGACAGTCTGGTCTGGGCACTTGGGCTCTTGATTATCTGAGTACTTATACCTACATGTATTTGGACTAAGTAACATTATCTTGAAACCACTCATAATATATTCATACTCATTCGAAGTACATGTACTCATTCAAGTTCAACATCATGGTGTTTGAACTTGATGCCTCCTATAAAACGTATAGTAACATTGAGGCCTCATTTAAATGTGCAGGCATGCAACAGGGAATTTGGAAAAAAATGAGGAAACTCCAAACCACACAAGACTTTGTATAGTATTTTTCAATTCGTAATAGCATTCATAAGGAATGGAAAACAAGGAAACCCTTAATATGAAACTGCAAGTAAATGTTATGAAGATGTCAGAATATTCAGTGCCAATGATTCACTTGCTGGAAATAAAACATCTTTTTAACACGTGGTTATCTTCAAATATCTGGAAAAGACATCAGCTTATCGCAGCCCTATTGATAGCTTAATTTTGTTTTTAGGCTTGCAGTACAGCTAGTCTTATCTTGCTTAAAACTTTGTCTAAACAAAGATATTTCCAAAAGCCTCAACAAACATTTTCACCACCAAAACACGATGATGTAGTTGTTTCTATAATGGAGCTTAAAATGATTACAAATGAAGGATTTAGGACTGTAAGGTGTAAATATTGACCGCTTCGAGTGATGTAGTAAAACTTGCCTTCCGAGATGATCCATGATAGGCCATTAGCCTGGGGGTTTGGTCAGAATCAAATCAGGGCGTAAATGATTATAGTGCGCAAGGTATACCGCCTAGAGTGGTGACAAGCATTTTAAATGGACATTTTGAAAAAAAGACACCCAAAAAGCTGCCACTGCTGCAATGCTATCACATATTTTTCAACTCTGGAGGTGTATACCTTGCCAAAAATCGCTGTGACAATTATTCCCCTCATTCCCCTTGATGGCCTTTGAAGCATTCTAAATTTCCCGAGGCGAAGTTGAGTGAAAATAGAATGCTCCATGGATCACCGAGGGAGGCTAATTTGACTGCACCACGAGATAAAGCAGTCAATACTTGTTTTATAACACCTCTCCCACAGATTCTGCTTGATTTTAAGTGATAACTGATTAATTTAATCTAACTGCAATTAAAATGTACTTCAAATTGAATATGAAAATGGGTGAAAGTTTACTTGCACTTGTCCAAACTACCCCTTCACAAAATGTTTGAACCCAGCTCTGTGGCCCCAGCACGCGCATGGGACTAATACGCGCTACGTGCACACCCGTAATGCTTTTACATACACTACCGGTTCTCATTGTATAGTACTTTTCGTTGTGCACAACAAGATGGCAAAAATACTGAATGCCATGTGACACGCTCTCGGCCAATCAAGATACAGAATCTGTGGGTGAGGTGTTATAATATGTTTTGGTCGACCTTTAACTGTGGTTTTAATTGCCAAATCATACCTTTCCCACATCTCCTCAAAAACGCTTTTTTTCAAGATCTCCCATTTGCTGCTCATGTCTGCCCCCGGGATATCTCTACCCCTCTCAGGTGCCAACTGCAATAAACACACGATTAAAGAAATGCAGTGAGAGAGACCTGCTAACAAACGTACTGTATCAGTCATGCGCCCACACGATTCTTTCTTCTGTCCCCTTGCATAAACTATAGGAACACTTCTGTCGTGCATAAAGGTATCTGTCGTGCATAAAGAACCCATAGGTCACAGGGAATACTCGAGTGCTAACTGTGTCTCGGGAAAGTGATACATACGAGGCATTTTGAGTATTTGCATATGATCCTACATGTCTTTCAGTAACTCACAGTGAACCAATCCATTAAACTTTAATTGCCCAATAGGCGCAGTGTGTGTGTGTGCATGCATCTTTGACCGATATTTGCCGTCCGTTGTGTGCAAATTCCTATAAAAAGGCTCATTATACCAATATTAATTAAACGCCAAACGTAAAATACAATTTCTTTTTCTGGCAACTCTTGCAACCCATAGTTTTGAAATCTGTCATCATGCAACTTTTTAAAATGAAATATTTTAAGTTGCATTTTTTCAAACTACTTTTTGACATCAATGGGTATGGCCCAACCCACCTCTTCTGCAATCGCTCTGATGTGATATGGCTCATACCCACAGCAGCCTCCGAGGTATCGCACTCCTAACTTGTACGCCTCCCGCGCAAACTGCTGCACATCCATACGAGTTAATAAGCGGGGCTCCATGGCTGTTAAAGATAAAAACATACTTCCTATTAAAATTATTCAACTATTGGTCAAATGCAGTTTCAAATAATTGAATACTAATTTATTCAGAAAGGGGCAGCCCTATAATGCAGACCTGTGATGGATTTGTGAGGACTCGTGACGGACTTAGCTATGGGCCATTCACGAGTCGGCCATATTGAATTGAAAGTGAGCTGAAATCTTAATTTTTTTAACTTGCAAAGAGAAATGAAACCAAGTTAATTTCTAAGTAATTCCCGTCTGCTTCAATGAATAATTTCAAATTTGTAATTAAACATTCCCTAATTTAAGATTTTAATGCCAGATTTTAAAAAAACAATGACAGTATAAGGCTGCATTGTTCCTGCATAAATAGTCTAGCGCCATCATTTAACAATTAACAATATTAATGAAATACATTCAGGGAACTCGACAAAAAAGGCCAACTCGTGAATAAGGCCCATGACCAGGCCCATCTTTAAGGGGGGGGGACCTGGTGGGGCCGGGCCCACTTGGCGAGCACACCCCCCCCCCCCCCCCCCCACGGCAAAAGCCATACATATGTATTTTGGGAAAGAATGTTGCAACCTGCTGTTACTTCAGTTATGTACAAAGTCTATGGAGAATCAAGAAAATTTTCTATGTATTTCCTAACAAAAATGGAAAAGTTTCTCAGTCCCAGATTCATGTCTCAGATTCATCATCATTTTTGCAATGGAATGACCCTCAGTGAGATGAGATATGAAGAAAAAAGTGGCGTCAGGTTGCAACCTTCTTTCCCTTTTTTGTATTTATTATGGTTGTGGGTCCCCTAGTTGCCCCCCCCCCCCCCATGCTCAGGGCTCGGGATGAACTGAGTTATGACTCTATCCCATCACACTCACCAAAAGGGAATTCTGGCAGGACTAAATATCCCCGCACCTCGTTCTCAATCTCCTGGGTGTGGTAGCCGACGGGCTGTGCCATGAGGTGGGCCTTCAGCCCCGCCTCCTCCAATCCTTGCTTCATCAGGGCCAGGGTCTTGAGACAAATGCTCGGGTCAAACATGCAGTTCACGCCAATGACGTCCGCCCCTTCAGAAAAAATAATGGAAAAAGTAATGAATGTACATAAAAATAAACATCAGCAAGTGGTTAGGGGGATAACAAAAACCAAGAAGCAATCGACAGGAATTCCAAATTTCACAAGAGATTCTTTAAAAATCTTGAAATCAGGAACATCCCGACAAAAAATCCTGAAATCAAGAAAATTCTGCCCCAAAAAATCTGGGAATTAGGAACAAATCATCACAAATCATTCTGAAAATCCGAAAAAAAATCCTACCAAATCTATAACACCTGTTATGTTGATGGAACTCAAGGCACAGCATCATTTACCGCTGCTTATACTGAGCCCGTACAAAAACAGATTTGTAATGGAGTCCATCACAAGCAAGAAACAATCGACAGGAATTCAAAAATGTAATTAGCAAAAGACTTAGGGCCCAGGCTACACTGATACTACAATTTTATTATCAGCATCTGCTAAACCACGAACACATCAAAGCCATCATTACCTGCTTTGACCATACGTACAGCACACTCCTGTGGAAGGACACCATTTTCGTCCCCGATGGGCGGTATCCTCATGGTGCATGCCACTGGCTTGCCAAGGGCCTTCATAGCCTCAACTGCCCATTCTGCTTCCTGGATGGTGCCAAAAAACTAAGGGAATAGAAATAAAACAGAGGATGTTACTTGGACCAAGAAATCATCAGAGGCAGAACAAGCAATATTATTATTATTAAACAAAATGAATCACGCAGAGTGGGAAAATCCATTTCCTTTTGCATACTTTCTTAATTACTTTTCCCTCACAATTTTAAATTGAATTGACATCTCGATGAGACATACATGTAGAGTGAAAAAAAATACACCAAAGTTTACTTACTATTATTTCTTTAGAATGTTTGAATTATTTGTGGCCCATCAAGAATTCGGATCTTGCCCATTTTTCAGAAGGTTGGCAATGCCCAAAATTATGGACTAAAATTAGTTTTTCCTTCAAAAAAAAACATACGTATTGATAATCTGTAAGCAGAAAAAAAAGGTGTTTTTTTAAGAGCACGCATAATTTGCAACTTTAGATTTTAAAGTTTAAAGTGCTTAATTAACCAACTGGAAATTATTTGAAATTTGAATTCGAAAGTTTATATTCCAAACATTTTGAGAATCTTAGTGTACAGCTAAAAGATTTTTCACAAGACTGTACAATTTTACAATAAGGCATTTAAACCAAAAATACTGTCAGAAATGAAGTCACTACAAAGATCTCTGGAGGTTATGAAGGAATATTTGTTGTCTCTAAATCTCCTGAGAAAAGATCTCTGCGAAGTGCGACAAGAATTATTTCTTGAAATTAGCCTAAAAAAAGCAAATTAAGAGAAGTAAATAATTACCTCTCCTAGCACAAAGTCCACGTCCTTTTCCATGAAGACATCTAGCTGTTTCTTGAATTCCTTCTGGACATTATCTTTGCCTTTGTCCACACAGTAGCACATGACTGGGGACAGCCCGCCGGCTACCAGCGCATCACCCTGAGAGGCGACCTGCCTAGCCAAGTCACAGGCTTGAAGATTCAGAGTACGTGCCTGTGAAACAAAGGAATATTACACACTTAAAGGCAATATGCAACATTTGCAAACATCAAAAAACGAAAGTACCAAACTATTATGAAACACCTTATTACTGGACTATTAGTGAATGACAGCATCCTTTTAAAATCATGGCACCTGGTGTGCTGTCATTTTTAAGAAAAGTGGTATATTTGTATCAATTTCCAGTGCTGGTCGGCCGACCAGCGTTGGAAAAAGCTTCTTCTATTTTCAAATGTACCATTATTTAGTTAGTCTGCATTTTGTTTGCAATCGATTACACACCTATGATCTAGTTCAAGCCAGCAAGACTGGTTACCTGACCTTACAATTCCCAGACATCTTTAAATTGCTCTGTTTCAGCTTAAGTGGGGTCAGGGAACCCGCAGACTACAGGAACATGATTGTTTTTCTTAGTTTTTCCAGCATCTAGGAACACAAAATTTCAAACAAGTCCGTGTACTCGCTATAAAATAATACCCCCCCCCCAAATCCATCCATTTCTGAAAATTACAGCAAAAGCAAATGTTGTATATTCCCTTCAAAATTTCTGTGCATATACTTTTCATAAAGTCAAAATTGAAGCTAGCTAGTTTTTGTGATAACTTTGATGCAATGTGTATGAAATTCCTTTGTCACACTGTATATGTTAAATTGGCTGAAGGTTCACACTGTGAGCAAATGTGCAGTGAATATTGAACACTATTTCCATTTTTATCAAGTTGGGTTGATTCTGTGCTTATAAGGATGTCAAGAGATGAACTCAAAGGTCATGTCAGTTACTTTATCCAAAAGTAAGTGAATTTCTGCCATTTCTCAAAGGCTAACATCTCAAAATTGAATTATGCTCTTGGAAAAAGCCAAGTAAAATTCCCAAGTAAAATGTACACCCTTTCACTTAATCGATTGTATTTCTGGATCTAGGGACCCAAATGGAATGGGGTGAAAAGGAGTGGATTGAAAAATAGTTAGGCTTTAATGTATTACATAATTTCATTGAAGAAAAAAAAAACATTAAACAGTTTGAATGATTTAATAGCTTTCTGAATGTTGCACTTTTTTTGGCACACTGTGCATGCACCTGACGATGATGATGTTAACTTTGCCAATTTCTGCTGTCAAAAAGTAAGTTTTTCCTCAAGTAAAAACATGCTTCCAGTTCCAAATCCAATTTTCTATAAACTGATGTGTTTGTGTGTGCTCTACATTGCTAACACAATAAGATAAGAACTGTATTTGTTTAATGCATACACTTCATGAGATTGGACTTTGTCATTAGGGAAAATGTCAAAAAACACTTGCCGACTGAATTCATGACTGAAACCTAAAATCAACTGTATGAAACTGACAAAGTTTCTTTAAGTTTTAGGCGGTGTAGCAAGAAATGACCTACAAGTCTGATACTTCTCAGCTAGTTTAATTCTTGCCTTTGAATCACAACTGCTCAGATTGTTACCTCGGCGATCAAATAAAAATGTAACTAAACATGTAATATATAGCAAGGAGTGCTCCAGTAACATGCAGCAAACAAATATTGACTGCTTTGCTTGGACACCAAGGGAAAAAATGTAGGTCATGTGATATAATGTGATAAAAATGTCATGGGATATATGTTGTTATAGTGTACAAATTTTGAGTGGCTCAGCGTGGAATGGGAGGAATATTATCGCAAGGTAAAATCTGGACTTTTCCATTTCACGAGGTGAAGCCGAGTGAACTGGAAAAGTCCAGATTTCACCGAGCGATAATATTCCTCCCATTTCACAATTTAAAGCCACTCAATATTTGTTTATGACATATAGATCCTTGTCATTTGATATATTTGAACTTTTTTTCAATACAAAACTGGAGGAAAATGTATTTCTCTCTTCCAAACCACCCCTTCACGAAAATGTTTGAACCCAACGCTGTAGCGCTGGCTCTTTGGAACAATACGCGCTACGCGCAACGCTGAACGCGCACACCAGCATGCATTTGCACAAAAATACCGCGTCATGATCCTAACTGTTGAATAGTATTTCCCATGGATAGTACTTTTTCAGCCCCGGCGTGAATGGGAGCAATAACGAAGGCCACGTGATGTGAGTTTCACCAATCAAATGACAAGGATCTGTATGTCGGTTATATAATGTTAAATGTTGGGGGAAAAAACATGAGACAATTACCAGTTAGGCATTACTAATACAAAATTTGTTTTGGGTTCATAGTACGCATGGGAAACACATGCACTGGACATGTAGGAGAAAGCGGGCAAGGGTCAAATTCATCCTGTACATATCAGTGCATTGTAAACATTGTCTGCAAATCCCCTAAGTGCCAATATTTTTTCCCCAAAATAGTCACACATGAGATAGACGGAATAACAATCTATAGATGTAGCATTTGTTTTCCCAAAGCAAGAAAGAAACAGCTCACATAATGACGGAATCGGGTGTACTGAAAGAGAAACGCAAGGTAAATATAACAAATCACTTTCTTTGGCAAGACATTAATTAGACTATTGAGCAGAACTCACTTTCCAATTATAAAGTTTAAGAGAGTCAAAGACTGTTAAATTTCTATTCAACTTCTGAATAAAAACCCAGAACCTGCACTGGTTTCTGTGTTTGTTCAGTGCACAGACATTTCTCGGTTTCTCGGTTTACCAAAAGTGTTTGATCTCCAAGGAATAATTACTCGATGATCATATAATCATATGTTCCCCCACCACTGCCCCCCCCAAAAACAAATACTGCATGCATGCGTCAAATAGGGTCTACCCTATGTTCCCCTACAAGGGCGGATCCAGGGGGGGGGCCAAAGGGGGCCATGGCCCCCCCCCCCCCCCCCAAAACGAAACCAATTTTTTTTTTTTTTATGTGATATCGCAATAAAGGCAGGCAATGAGTACACCACCATCTTTTCCTCAAAAAACATTGGTTAAAGTGATCAGAAATTGCCTCAGATCGCACCACAGAGCATCTAGAATCCAAAAAATTTCGGGGCCCTTAAGCGGGCCCCGAACGCCACGCCGTAATTTTTTTGACCCACTTTTTGGGGGACCAAAAATTGTTTTGGCCCCCCCCCCAAAAAAATTGTGTTCTGGATCCGCCCTTGTTCCCCAATACCTATGTTCCCCAATCGCGATGTTCCCCGAAGTCTTTAGGGTTAGGGTTAGGGTTGGGGAACATCGGTACTGGGAAACATCAGTATTGGGGAACATAGGTATTGGGGAACATAGGTATTGGGGAACATAGGTATTGGGGAACATAGGTATGCACCCCATCAAATGACTGAATTATCAGTACCATGCAATAAATCTCTTGAGTTTCATTTTGACTGGTTTTGAGGATAAAAGGTTAATTTTATGCTTCAAACTATATGCTCTTTTCATGAAGACGTAACGAGCAAATGTCACCTAGCTGAAGTGTTTTACTGAGGATCTGACTCCAATAAAACACCTTAACAAGCCAACTTTTCAGTTACGAGTCCGTTGTCGTGCTTGTTTATTGCTTGGTTCAACACGCATACAAGTCTCCGTGTCACGTGATGACCTTTTCCGGGTCATACAACTAGTCTCCGCTCAAGACACTACATCACCCTCCCCCTTCTGATTGTTAGTCGTTAGATTATGACTTGGAAGCATTTGGGGCGGAAGCCTTTCTTCCAACATTTCAACAAATTTTACATTAACAAAACACTAGTGCTTCCTGTAAACTAACATCGATAGTCTGGCCGTTGCCTTGTGGGTCTGGTTCCTCGCTCCTTCCCTGAAATGCCAGCTTATCATCCTGGGCATAGAATGTGAAAGTTGTTAGGACGTTGGCGCCAGCCCGCATATAGTCTCGGTGCAGCTGGGTCACTAGACAACAAATATGACACAAAAACAATTACATAATATTACAACAACAGTACATTATTTGTATTACAATTTCAGCATCTTTCTTGTTTAGAGGTGGGGACATGGTGTACGACCCCCCCCCCCCCCCTTCCCCTGACCTGGGAGTGGTCAGCAAAATTGTGTGTCTAGCAGCAAATTAAAAAAAAGGCACAACGATGGCGCAATGAAGAGTGCCACCTTTTGTCCGATGATGTCCAAGATCGCATGCTTTCTGCTTTGAACAAGTGCCTCCAAGGCAGTAGTCATATTATGTCCATCCCCACCCCTAGCTCCTCCCCTACCACGCCCGGGTCCGTCGGCACATTTTTTTGGTCACACCCCTCATTGGTGTCATCAGTAAAATCCTGCATTAATTGCCACTGCACCTGCCACTGAGACCTTAGATCAGGGAATATGCATAAAATACATTTTTTATCTTTTCAGGAAATCTTTCATTTTTTAACGTGGTTATGTACGGTATGTATTTGTTTGGCCCAGAAAATCAATTTGTGGTGGATATAGTACTAGTCATATCTCTAATTGCTGCCGTGGAAATGACACTGCAAAAACTTGTGCAGATTAATTCTTGCCTCAATAATGTAAACAATCAATGATTAAGCACAATTTGCAATGACTCAGCATATTTCTAGTATTGCTTTGCTATTAGACGTTGTCAGAATTGAAGTTTGGAATGTAAATGGTCACGTGAGTTAGATTTAATCATATAACTGACATACAGATCCCTGTCATTTGATTGGTGGAACTCACATCACGTGATATTCATTATTGCTCCCATTCACGCCGGGGCTCAAAAAGTCCCATTCGCCCATGGTGAACGGGATTCACTATTCAACAGTTAGGATCATCCTTGTTCCATAACACGGTGTTTGTGTGCAAATGCATGCTAGTATGCGCATTCAGGGTTGCCCGTAGTGCGTATTGCGTGTTGTTCCCAAGAGCAGCAGTAGCTACAAAGTTGGTTTCAAACATTTTGCGAAGGGGGGAGGGGGGGGGGGGGTTGGAGGAGAAATGTACATTTCCCACCAATGTTTATATTAAAATACAAGTACATTTGAATTGTAAATGAAATGACAAGGATATTCAGTTACATAAAACAGATATTGAGAGGCTTTAAATTGTGAAATGGGAGGAATATTATTGCTTGGTAAAATCTGGACTTTTCCAAAAGTCCAGATTTTACCTTGCGATAATATTCCTCCCATTCCACTCTGAGCCACTCAATATTTGTATAATATTATATATAATGCAGTGAACTGGTCTTTTTGAATTTTGTTGAATAATACAATGACCTACATCATTATATATTTTTTCTCAGTTCCGCATCTGTTTGCATTCTCTATGAATTATTATGGCTTATTTAACATGATCCCATTGAATTGTGTGATTTAAAAGAGTGGTTTTAATCCCAGTGGCAATTTCAACTTCAAGGGAAGCAATTGAAGAGATTAACCTTTTTTACTAGAGAGGCCACTCAAGGTTTGATCCTCAAGTTTCAACCTTCAATTACAAAGTTGGTCGTAGTACAGAGTTTGTAAAAAAAAAGGTGCAACATTCAGAAAATAAATACTTAAAACTGTTTAATGATTTTTTTCTCCAATGAAATTATATATTACATTAAAGCGTGACTATCAATCCACTCCCGGCTCCCTTTCCCCGTTCCATCTGGGTCCCTAGATCCAGAAATACAATCATTTAAGTGAAAGGGTATATATTTTGAAGAAAAAGACATTACTCAGTTTTAATTATTTGTTTGCTGAATGTTGCACCTTTTTTCTGTATAAGAGGGGGTCACGTGGAGGGGGGGGGGCACACATGCCTCAAGGAACCCTCCTACAGCTCCTTGAGTTGCCCCTGTTAAGAGTATAATTAACATTTTGAATAAGTACTTTAAGGGAAGATACAACATTTGCAAGCATCAAAAAACGAAATAATCAAATTATCACGAAATATCTCACTGGATTGTTAGGGAATGCCAGTCCAAAGCATCCTGTACAATCGTGGCTCCTGGTGTGCTGACATTTTCAAGAAGACTTGTATTTTTCCAATGCTGGTAGGCCGTCCAGCGTTGGGGAAAATTTGGTTTTTTTTCTTCAAAAAGTGCTCCTAGTTTTCCATATTTAGTTATTCAGCCTTTTCTTTGCAATTGATTATATACACACCTGTGAAGGGGTACAAGCCTGCTAGAATGATTCTCTGACATTACAATTCCCCAAAGTCTATAAATTGCTCCGTTTCATCTTAAGTGGGGTCAGGGAACCAGACTACAAGAATGTTTTCTTGGATTTTCCAGCATCTCCGAACCCAAAACGTGAGGCAAGTCAGTTTAACAATATTTGCTATAACATTACTATCCTCCAAATCCATTTATTTCTGAAAATTGAAGCAAAAGCAAATGTTGTACATTCCCTTTAATAACAAACACGTGTATACCTATTTAAGAGACTTAAAACAAATGCACAATTAAGTTGTAATTGGGCTCACCTGCTTCTGGATACTTCACAACTGCTTCGGGTGTCCATGTTCCAGCAGTCACATAGCCTCTCTTCTCTAGACAGACCACGTAGCTACCGTCCCCAATCACAACACCTTCCTCTAGGAGCTTCAGAAGGTTTCTCTAAGGAAACAATTTACCAAAAAAAAATCAAGATGTCACATACAATAATTGCGCCAAAGAAAGTGGAACATGCAGAAAATGAATAGTTTAAACTGTTCAATGTATTTTTCTTCAAAATATATACCCTTTCACTTAAATGATTGTATTTCTACATCTAGGGACCCAGATGGAACAGGGGAAAGGGAGCCGGGAGTGGATTGATAGTCAAGCTTTAATGTAATATATAATTTCATTGGAGAAAAAAATCATTAATTATATATTGCATTAACGCCTGACTTTTTTCTCAACCCACTCCTTTTTCCCCCTTTCCATTTGGGTCTGTAGATCCAGAAATACAATTGACTAACTGAATGGGTACATTTTACTTTATCCACTCGATCTCACCTGTGATGCCTATACAATGCTTAACCCAGTTTCAGCATGTCCAGGTGAGAGTGGTCACGTAAAATGTATACCCTTTCACTTGATTGATTGTATTTCTTGAATCTAGCTATTTGGACCAAAACTTACGCGGGCAGGGCTTGGCTAGATTCCAGGGTTGGGAAAAGTTGTTACTATTGTACAGATGTACATTATTTTGTTCAGAGTTCAGACTGTGTGTTTTCTGGGGTCCGCTCGTAAGTCCGACGCCTCATAAGTCCGACAAAATCGCATCCCCCAACCAAACAAAGGCCCATAAGTCCTCACCATATGCGGGCAGGCGCAGTGCACACTGAAACCGCTGCATGCTGATCCAGTGCTGCACAGGTGTCAACTGGGGTGCAAACACCACAACACTGCGAACTTCCACACTTGCTCTAGTGTACGCTCCTGCAGAGTACTGCACTCCAGTGTGGAGTAGAAGCGTACAGTATACTAAGTAGCTGGACTCAAGCCTCAACACTGCGCTCCGCATCATTTCAGGATGCATGCGTCCAACTCCATCAGAATAACTACCAGTCCTTGGACAAATCCCACCAGCGAACATCCGCAGAGATGCTGCAACCCTGAGACTTGCACTCAGAGCGCTGGATGAAGAACACCTGCTAGGCTGCTGAATGAGGGAGCCCGACGACTCAAGTCCCATCACCCATCGTCTGCCAAAGAGCTACTGCAGGATTTCTCCCAAGCAAACACGGCATCCTTGGTTGCAGACAAATGGGAGCAATCATGGCAAGGATCTACAACGCGCCTACATCAGTTCGTCGAAGACCACACCAACATCAGTGGAATGGATCTAACACTGCGCAAGGCCTGGACAAGACTAGACCGCCTTCGAACTAGCGTGGGGCGTTTCAGAGCCAACGTGGCCAAATGGGGCCTCGCGGACAGTGCCACCTGTGAATGTGGGACTGCAGACCAAACTGCAGACAATATTCTATCCCATTGCCCCATCTACCAATCTCCGCATGGTGCAGACTTGAGGATACCACCGGCTTCCTCTAAAGAATTGGGACTTTACATCCGAGGGGAAATCATGGACAGTTGGACACGATAGTTAGTTTCTTGACTGACACTGGAGCGACAGAGGGTTTTGTTTCCACTCGGCTGTATGACAGGACAGACCTGAAGTTAAGACCAGTGCTCAGATCGCAAGTTCCGCCGCGGGTGGGAGTGAGCTGCGCATCGCTGGATGTGCGAAGATGCCGATTAAATACTGGGGGAAGCGACATGCTACACAGCGTTTGAGTCGCAGACATCAGCGTAGCCGTTCTCTGGGACTGGACTTTTTGCAAGAGCATATTAAATGCCAGCTTATTTGGGATGAAGAGTGCTTTGTTGTCGGTAAGCACAGAGTTCCTTTACCACGGACTGCCGAACCAACGGTACGGGAATCCCTGCTGTCGGTGCCTGCAACTGAAACACTGGGTTCCGTGGATTCCCCATTAATTATTGCCGAGGGTCACTCATCTGGCAGTGACTGCAGAACCAGCGCTGCAAGGGGCCAGTACGCCAGTCATCAAGGACAGAAAATGAGGTGAGAACGGGTAGTCCTGCCGCCGGAGTGGGTAGTCCCACTGCCGCCGTTGCTGAACACCACGCGACAAAAGGCACCAGCCCAACTAAAACCCGCCGTGGCAGGGACGTCTGAAGACGCCGGGGATGCTTGCGACAAGTCAGCGGCGGCGACGAAAGGCAGTCAGCCACGGGAAGGCAAAGCGACGTACAAATGCAGGGTCTGCGGTCAGCAGTATATGTCTCCCCGTTTTAATACCCGGAGGCATGAAAAATCAGCGCATAAAGAACGGAGTTACCAGTATCGGGAGAGCCCAAAGTCCTACGGACGGTCCGACTACTTGACCCGGAACATGAGGGCCCTGCAGCATACGGGACCGACGAGTTGTGGATAGTTGATCCTCCACTTGTAAGGGACATCGTAGTTAGTTGTAGTCTGGGGACTAGAAGCAACGCTGATCGACTTCCACTGATGATGACACCACTTTTATTTCAAATGTCGTTGAAAAAAAAAGTTTTGGAAAATTGTGAATATCAGTTTATGTAAAATTTGTTGTAATTGTGCCCCTATTCAGAAGAATAGGCACATTCTTGTGAGGGGCAGTGTAACGGATAGTTTAAGCAGCTCTTTTGTTGTCATTGCCGCTTTGCTTTGGCTCCGGCTGTGCGCACCTGACATGGTTTTGGGCCCAGTTGGCGCGCTCTCCGGAAATGATGTTCTTGTTTTGAATATACTCATAGGGATCGAGAGAAAGAGGGTTATAAGAAACAATATTGCAACTGAATTCTTGTGCATGATTGTGGATTAGTGGTAAAAATGCAGGCTTAACTTGATCATTTTTTAAAGTTGTAATCAATTTTTGAAGTTTTTAATTTATTTAATCAGTTTGTGTTGGTCTAGCTACTTAATTGTCTTTATCTGTTGCCAAGTGTTGGTTTCGTAGATTTGATATTCCAGTCTTGAATTGTCTTTGGTCGTAATGTTTTGTTGTTATTTTCTTTGCTTACAGAAATATATATTCAACGGGATTGGGTATTTTATACACAGTACGCATGTTAATTGATTTTTTTTTTTTTGGACTTGATAGCATTTCAGGAGAGCCACCAGATGAACAATTTCACTTTTGGCAATCCTTCGTGTTATCAATATTATAGTTTTGTTTGTTTTTTTAGTCTTTGTCACACTGGCCTGTTACTTAAAATGTTTGTATTGCATTTTGTGTCTGTATGTGTTCTTACCTGAGAAATAATAAATAAAATGAAATGAAATACACAGTATTGAGACCCCCCCCCCCCCACACCGTGGAGGAAGTTCCTTCCTCCATGATTTAACATTATTATTTAGAATCATCACAAACTTTCCTTCGCAAACTGTATTACATTCCAGAATTTTTAAAAAGAAAACATTCCCACCTGGTCACGAAAGATAGATTTACAAAATACAAGATGTCAATATTATGAATATTCGGTAAAGTAATTTTATAAAACTTGTTTTCTTATAATTTGTAATGTCAATGGAGGTATACACAAACATAGTCATTTTAATCAGTAATAAATATATGAATGAATGAATCCCTGCATGTGCTCTCTATGGTCAGTTTGTGCACCATGGGCCACCCGGCGTAGTCTAAACATGGAGTCTCCATGAGCGGTGTGAAGTTGGTTACTTATTCCTCGTTCCTTGTTCGACATTCGCACGCTAAACACTACATGTACAAATCATGCATAGAGTGTATCCAAAGCTGCATATACACATTCGCAAACGGCTCATAGACTGGTTTCCTATCCCGCTAGGCCCAGGAACACTTTGTTTTGCCACACATTTTCGTACAACAGAGACCTCTTTTAAGCATGAAGAACACTTTGGACCGGGAAAGGCTGGATGTAGGGGGATGCATGAGGACCTGGGGAACTGGAAAATAATGGGTCTGACCTGGTCCAAGGGGTTTCAGTATTTTTTTCATATTTTTGAAAAAGACAAATCTACGGCGATTTTAATGCACATTTTTCCATATGTTTGTGTACAAAATCGGCGCTCTCAAAGAAATTCCTTTTAATCATGAAGAACGCGGCTTAGACCGGGCAAGGCTGGATGTAGGAGGATGCAAGAGGACCTCAGGAACTAGAAAAAAATAAGTCTGACCTGGTCCAAGGGGTTTCAGTATTTTTTAAATATCTTTGAAAAAGACTTAAATCTACGGCGATTATAATGCACGCTTTTCCATATGTTTGTGTACATAATCGGTGCTCTCAAAGAAATGTCCCTTTAAGCACGAAGAACGTCTTGGACCGGGCAAGGCTGGATGTAGGAGGATGCAGGAGGACCTGGGAAACTTGAAAATAATAAGTCTGACCTGGTCCAAGGGGTTGGAATATTTTTTCCATATTTTTGAAAAAGACTTTAAATCTACGGCGATGTTAATGCACGTTTTTCCATATGTTTGTGTACATAATCGGCGCTCCCAAAGAAATGCCCCTTTAAGCATGAAGAACGCCTTGGACCGGGCAATGCTGGATATAGAAGGATGCAGGAGGACCTGGGAAACTTGAAAATAATAAGTCTGACCTGGTCCAAGGGGTTGGAATATTTTTTCCATATTTTTGAAAAAGATTGAAATCTACGGCTATTTTAATGCGCGTTTTTCCATATGTTTGTGTACATAATCGGTGCTCTAAAAGAAATGTCCCTTTAAGCATGAAGAACGTCTTGGATGGGGCAAGGCTGGATGTAGGAGGATGCAGGAGGACCTGAGCAACTGGAAAATAGTAAGTCTGACCTGGTCCAAGGGGTTAAAGTATTTTTTTCATATTTTTGAAAAAGACTTAAATCTACGGCGATTTTAATGCACGTTTTTGAATATGTTTGTGTACATAATCGGCGCTCTCAAAGAAATGTCCCTTTAAGCATGAAGAACGCCTTGGACCGGGCAAGGCTGGATGTAGGAGGATGCAGGAGGACCTGGGAAACCTGAAAATAATAAGTCTGGCCTGGTCCAAAGGGTTGGAATATTTTTTCCATATTTTTGAAAAAGATTGAAATCTACGGCGATTTTAATGCACGTTTT